GGGGTGGGAGGGCGACCCCCGCCAGCACCGGGCGGCAAACACAGCCAGGGCCCAGCGCGGCAATAATTCCCCGACACCACCCCCGGTGAGCCCTGCGTACAATGCGGAGGCTTCAACGCTGTTGTTTAGGAAGCGCTCCCTACCCTCGAACAGAAACACAGAAGGAATACACCATTAAAAAAAAAACAAGCACAAATGGAATAAATAGGAAATGCGTTTCCAGATTTAGCATCTCAAAATACAGTGGGAAGTCCTGAATCATACTGCAACTGTACTGTGCAGAGTAGGCATGTGTGCTGTTTCCATTAAACCATTTTAAAGGGGCGATATAGAAAGTTATTTTAGGTAAAAGCTGGCAGTATAACTTCTTAAGGAAAGGCAGGAGAGGAATTTTAAACACTTCAAAAGCAGTAGTAGCACACAATTTAAGAACAGCTCATAGGAACCTCAGCTCAGCAGCAGAGGAGCAGGGAGAGGGGGATGTGAAACCTCAGGACACCCAGCTCCTTCCTCAGACTTCCACAGCTGCATGGAGAGGTCCCATCTTCCACATTTCAAGGAGAGGTAAATAATCAGACTTGAAACTCCTTTGTATACAGGACAGGGCATGGCTTGGCACGGCGATGGCTGCACAAGCACAGGGACACTCTCCTGCCTTGGAACAAAACTGACACAGATGCCTCAGTACTAATTTTTCAAATGCCTGTTGTCATCACAACATTTATCTTGCCATTTCTTCCACCTTCTCATTCAAAACATCCCTCATATCAAAACAAGGAGACATTTCCAAGACCAGAGGTTGGCAATCACAGGCAAGTCTGTTTTAAAATCCCATTAACTCACCCCGAGCTCACTTTCAGCCACTGATTCAAAGCATCAGAAAAAAAGATAAATCAAGTAACTGTCAGCGTATTTCCTTGGTTTTAAATGCTAAAGTGCCACAGACCATTACAGACTCTTCACCACAGTTAAAGGCACCAACAAGCCAATCGACCTTTCATGAGTTGTTTATGAGCTGCCACAGTGCTTTGAGTCTAATGAGAACCAAAAGGACTGCAGGCACCTGCTCCTTGATCCTGCTG